AAATAAAAAAAAAAAAAAAAAAAAAAAACAGCAACAAATGAATACGCGAAAAACAAAACTACCTCTTTAACACACTAACCAAACTGAATTCCTATTCTTAGTATCTGTTCAACACAATTGCTGAAAATAAAATTTTATTCACTTCAGGGCTCATTACATCAAACCGCACGATCTGGGTAGTAAGTCATATACCCCCTGTTATGATTTCAATTCATATGAAACAACTATTTTCCGTCCATAACTCATGATTGTGTCCAAAAATTCCGATCTGTAGTAAGTCATATACCCCCTGTTATGATTTCAATTCATATGAAACAACTATTTTCCGTCCATAACTCATGATTGTGTCCAAAAATCATTGATTCTTAAAATGTGAAAAGGAAAAAAGATAGAAAAATAAACTCTCCACTTGACTCTCAATTCTCTCTACTTATGGCCTGAATGGGGCAAAGACAACTACTGAATTGTGTCCACCGAACCCAAATGAGTTGGATATACCTGCAGGAAGTACACTAAATATTAGAACATTGAATTTTACGTCAGTACCACTATTCAATTGAAAAGATCATTCGTACATACCAACATTAACTTCATGTTGCTTCTTAACGTTAGGGACAGTGTCAATTGTAACACTAGCCTCCAAGTTCTGCAAAAAAGTGAGAAAATTAGACGCTTTGACTTAACATTAAGATCTCGTGGGAATGAACAAAAGGTTAATGTAACATGTTTTGGTTAATAGCATGAATTTCTGGTTCAGGACAGTACATCTTGGTTAATGCTTGGATGCAACCACCCAGTGTTTATGGCTTTAATAGTTGCTATGGCTTCCAAACCACCAGCAGCCCCAAGACCATGACCAATCATTGACTGAAACCACCAAGAAAATATAATGATAAGCTTCAAAGTTAACAAAACAATGCTTAAGATTCTGAATTTTTTTAAAGGAAAACAAAAAGAATTTATTACCTTAGTTGCATTCATTTTCAATTCTGTTGTGTCCTTAAAAACCTTTTTGATTGCATTAACCTCAGCCAGGTCACCAGCCAGTGTTGATGTGGCATGAGCATTCACATAGTTCACCTATACAGTTTAGAAATTAGCCAATTAGAATTCATCAATTTTACATAAGCAATTATATATATCAAGTCACTTTTTGATAAAAAAGACATGATTTACATAATATCTCAAAGCTTACTGCCAAAGATTAATATGCATTTATAGAACGTGACTTCGGTTGATTAAATATTATTTTAGAACTAACAAAAATTCATCTTGAAAATGTCAGATCAACTCCTATATCTCAAGACAGGTCTTACAACTAGTAAATCAAAATGTTTAGTTATATCAAGGCACTTTTGATAATACTCTATTTGTTACCTCTTCAGGGGAAACGCCTGCATCTTCTAAACTCTTGCTTATGCAAGATGAAACTCCAAGTCCATCAGATCTTGGATCAGTCATGTGATGAGCATCACATGTTATGGCACCCCCCAAATATTCTGCTACTATTCTGGCTCCCCTTTTGGTTGCACTCTCCAAGGTCTCCATTACCTTTTTCAGTGATAGAAAATCAAGTTTTCATTAGGTGAACAAAAGTCATTTAAAACAAAATTTTGGTTTAAGGTTCTACCAGCACACCAGAGCCTTCACCCATTACAAAACCATCACGATCTTTGTCCCATGGTCTTGAAGCCTTCTTGGGGTCTTCATTTCTCTGAGACAAAGCCCTGCAAGCAATGAAACCTCCAACACCAGTAGGCATGATTGCAGCCTCAGTCCCACCAACAACCATGATATCTGCTTCACCTCTTCTAATGTGATTAGCAGCTGCATAAAAGCAGTAATTTGCTGTTGCGCAAGCTGTAGAAATGGAATAATTTGGTCCCATTAGGCCAGTGTCTATAGCCAACAAAGCAGAACCCATGTTGGTGATGGAGTAGGGAATGAAAAATGGAGTAATTTTCTTATATCCCTTCTGTATAAGAGCTTCCACACCATTGCTGAAAGCCGTTAAACCTCCCATTCCTGATCCCACCAGAACTCCTATTCTTGTTTTGTCCATCTGCCAGAAAACAATGAATTTTTAGCTTCGTAATTGGTATCAATCCTCCTCATTAAATCAGTGTCCTAATGAAAACTAATGATTACAACAAATTATGAAAACAAATCACTACTGATATGATTAGCGATCGTCAGTACCATAGATACTATTATTGTTGTTTCCTAATAGAAATTGGAGTTTTAACTCAGTAACACATATGTTAACGCGTATTATGGAAATAAAACTCCAACTCTGATTGAATAATACTTGTAGTAATGCATGGAAGTATTACTCATAAATTAAGATACAATCAAAATTTCCCTTGTTAGTTAGATAACTACATATTGCAACATCGAAAAGTTCTATGACTTACAGTGTTGAGGACTTGTTCTCCAAGGTTGGCATCATCGAGTGCCCTCTTGCCAGCAACAATGCAATACCTCCAGCAATCATCAAGGCGACGGTCATTCTTGCCATCAATGTAGCCTTCTGAAGAGAAATTACGTATCTGACCTCCAAAACGGACAGAGAAGCTTGAGGCATCAAACCTATCTATTAGGCTTATCCCACTCTCTCCCTCGAGAAGCTTGTTGTAAAATGTATCAATGTCACTGCCAAAGACTGACACAAGACCCATTCCTGTTATTACTACCCGCTTTTTTGGATCCTTTTCTCTCTTTGGTGCTGCAACAGTTGGGGAAGCCATGGCCTTGATTGTTCTGCATCTGGCAGCTGCAAGTGCAAAGTTTAAGCTTCAATCAATAATACAATATAAGATAAAAACACATTCTAGCATGGTATAGATCAAGGGTATTATTAATTATTGTTCGAGTTTGGTAAGACCACTCTCGTGAATATTTAACACAATTGCATTCTTAGGATTTCAACTCAAGGCCATTACTTAAATTAGATTAAACTTATATCAATTGATCTATGCGTTCGGTGTTACATTCTAGTTTACATCCTAATATTGAATGCTTTAGCTATTTAATAGTTTAAAGAGAACAATTCACTATAAAGAGTAAAGTAATAATTTTTAATATGAAAATCAATGTTTAATATTTGTACATCATAATAAAACGTGGACTTATTGAAATATTAACACTTGATTTTCTTCTCAGTAATTATGATTACATACTTTAACCTTAGTATCTTTAAAGAAATCAAATTTTGAATACTGGTATGACAACCAGTTGAAGTACTACTTCCTATAGAGCTTGAACATATGCCCACGACATGGACAAGTTGCTAGGCTCATCTAAGTGATCATTCCTATGGGTAGGATGAGATTGGTAATAGGAGGTTGAATAGTTCAAATTCAAAACAGAAAAAATAAACTAGGCCAAAACTCTTCTGATTCATGATCTGCATTTAAGAATCTAATTTATTGGCAGCGCCTAACATACAGCAGCATCATATAAAAAGAGGAAATGAAACAGATTTCATTCATAATTAAGCAAAAGTACGGGGATCAAAAGGAAAGAGTAATGAGTCTTACATGAAGCTGAAATGTGGTGGCTTGGCATACTTGTTGGTGAAGGAATTTGCATCTTCTGCTGCAATCTAAGCCCCTCATAATGAACCACAGAGTTCCCATTGCTTTCTGAAACTTTGTTTCTGAGCAATGCACCCAAAGGACATGTACCAGCAATGCCTGCCATCTCTCTCCTTCTCCCTCTCTGTCTCTCTCTCTCTTGATGTTGATTTAAAGTAAAGGAGGGAACTTTGGATTGTCAGGGGAAGAAAGAGTTAATGCAAAAGAAAAATAAATTAAAATGAAAAAAAACAAACATTGTCTAACGTTTGGTTTGGGAAGTCCGCCATTGTTTTATTGTCCTTAATGATGTGTGTGTGTATGTAACCGATGGCTTTGGCGAAAAAAACAGAGTTTGTGTTCTAAATTTTGCTATGGTTTCACTTTCTTTTAATCGCTTAACTACCGAAACAACCCCATTGAAGATCCATTAAAGAAAGTCGTCGTTGGTGGCACTTTTGTTGGTGGATCATGATTATTGTCCTAGCTACTCATGCGGCTTCGGTTTAGGTGAACCCTCAGAATTGAGAACTTCTTGGAGTAAACACTACAATGCCAATACTTGCTACATATATTTGTCTTCTCAATACATAAATGCAACCAAGCTTTGCAAAATATTTTATTCTGCTTAAATATTTATCATTACATTAAAAAATTATTAAATTAAAAGATAAATTTGAAATTAAAATCTTATAATTCTGTCATCAAAATTTTAAATCAAATAAAAATATTATGTTGTCCTTGACATAATATGCTACTTGGTTAAAATGAAAATACGTCTTGTTATTTAATTGGAGAAATTAATAATAAAATATTTAAAAAAAAATAATGCGAACTTTTCCCTAGATTAAATAGCCACCAAATTACGTATTTTTACACCATAATCATAGGATTTTAAATGTGATATCATTGCCATGTTGGACCAAAGAAACGACGATATGTGGTGACTTAATGCTGAATGAAAAGTATATTTCCCAAACCTTTATAAAGTATACACCTTAAAAATTAAAAGACAGAAAGTGAATTTAGAAGTGTAAACAAGTGAAATCTATCCGAACAGTATATCTATGTTTGGGTTGTAAAGTTAAACTTACTTTTGGATTTAGTTTAGTTAAAAACTATCAAGTATGGGCTGTCTTAATTACTTCATTTTTTTTCTTAATATTTTTATTTATCAGGTTTCATTTTGAATAATTTTATTTATTAATTTAGTATATGATAGATTCATTCATTAGGAAATGAAGTGTAACAAAATTAAAATATAATTTTATATTCTTTTTTATAGAATAATTTTATATTCTTAAAAATGGAAATTTTACCGATGAAATGGTAGAAAGTAAAAAAAAAACTACATATCAAAACATCTCAAACAAAGAATTTGATGACCAAAGCATCTCAAAGACAGCATCTCAAAGACGGTTAAAACCTTCATCGAAATGCTTGTTATCAATCTAAATAGATGATATTATAAGTAAAAGTTTTAGAATAAATGTCATAATGTTCATGATAGAAAAGTTCACCGAAAAGGGCTACAAAACAAAATATATTACTCCCATAATAGTTTTCAAAAGTTCTTTCTTCGTATGCAGATCAAAAGTAATGCATATTAAGTAACCAAAAAAAAGTAATGCATATTAACACTAAATGCATGACCCAATATTAAGTTATTAACTTAACATTTCTGAAAAGGAACAACTTTAATAAAAAAAAAAAGGAACAACTTTCATTTTTAATGACCAAACGAATGTCTTCCATACAAGATAAAATGCATCTTTAGTTTCACAAAATATCTTAACTTTGACTTTAATTTTATAAAAAAAATAATATAATTTTAGTCTATATACTTTTAATATTTTTAACATGAACACATGTTTAATCTTTGGTAAATGACTAAAATTATATCACCTTTTGTGATTATAAAATTTTTTTATTCACATAAATTATAATGATGGTGATAGGATTGGAACCTAAAAACTTAAGTATATTATTTTAACCCTTTGTTATTGAACTAATTTTAATAGTTCTTGTAATTGTAAGGATATATAAAGATATATTAATTTTTTTATAAACACTAAAAATGAATTTTGAAATATATTGAGAATTCAAAAATATACTTTACCGTACAATATAATACCTAATATTCTTGTGTAGTCTTTGAACATTTCCTTCATTTAATAGTTATTATCATTTACCATACCTCATAAATTTTGATATAGCATTAAATTTATCATTCTAAAAATTCCGGAATGTGAAGTCGAAAATAACTTGAACAATAATACTTGGATTGCAATTCTGGATATAGTTATAACGTACGAAAGAAAGTTCTTTAAAAGTGAAGTCATTCTTTTGTTTTTCATTTCACTTTCATATTGATTTGAGTAAATATTGTTGTGTATTTTCGAATATATTTTAATAAAAGTATGTCAATAAAAAAATTGTTATTATTACTTATTATTGTATTTTTTTATATGTTTTAATTTCTCAAATGATGGTTTTAATAATAAAAATTAGTAAAACTGAATTTTCTACATTTATCATATATAATTTCAAATATCTTTATTGTATTAAATTAAAATTATTTAAGTTAAAAACAAAATAAAAGATGTGGGATGAATTGGGGGACTATTTAATGATTTTTTATGAACTACACCATCAAAGAATGAAGTTAGTGGACTTATATATATCAAGAACTTATATTTGATTTTTATTATCGCCAAAATAATATTTTCAATTGATAAAAAAAAAGTTATCAAGCTATATAAAGTAAATATATATTATAATGTAAGAAATTATATTATCATTCAATCATAACTTATTATAATTACTTCAAAATTTATATATAAAAGGATTTTTAATCAATTAAAGTGACAAATCTTTCCATTGAGAATATATTAAAATTAAATTTATAATAATAACTTATGATATTTATATAGGTTACCCATAATTTTTTTATTTTTTAACTATAGTACTAGAGATGAGCTTCGGTCTAGATCGAATTGATTTAAGCGGTATTTAAATATAAACTGGCCATATTAATCGGTTTAGGTTGTTTTAAGTTTTTTTTTTTTTTTTTTTTTAAAAGAAACAGAAGAAAACTTGGGATTGAGTCATCAGGAATACATGAAAAAAAAATAAGAATCATAATAAAATTTAATTTTTTTTATAAATAATCTCAAAAGTCAAAATTATAAAAGTATACATCATAAAGTTATAGAATTATAAAGTTATACATAATATAAAGTTACAACTTTACGCGGGTAAATTTTAAGAACTACTCTAATTTGATATTTTTAAAAATAAAACTACACTTCTTTCTTTAAAAAAAAAAGTAATTTATATACCTATATTTTAATTTAATCCATGAACGTAAAAAACAATATTAAATTATTCTTATATATATATATATATATATAAACACTTCTTTTTACCCACAAATGTTAATAGTTAGTTGTTATATTAGTGAAAAAAATCTAATCTATATTCTCCTTATTACTCTAATCCTATGCCTCTTCCTCCAAATCACTCACATATATATTAAGTTTTAATTTAGTGTCTATACGTGTAACATAATTTTATAGCTTATAATATTTTTTTTATACATTATTATAATATATTTTATTTTTATCTTTAAAATATTATTAATTTTTTTATCCTTGTTACATAAGGTGAGATTTGATTTTTTTTTAATCTATTTTTTACGCAAGGTATGATTTTATTATTTTTATTATTTTATTATGTAATTATTAATAGTATTAATAGATAATAAGTTTATTTTATTTATTTAATGCTTTTTATATTTACAAATTACATTATTTATTTTATTCTTTAAACTATTCATAATATTTATTTTAGTATTATACTTCAAGATATTGATAATATATGGTGGAATATAGATTTATTATATTTTATTATTTATAATATAATTAAAATAACTTATCTGTAAATAAAAAATTATAAGAGATTAAAATTAATTATAACTTATAAATACTTTAAATATACTTTTATTAAAAAGTAAAATTAAAATTTATATAAAATACCATATAAATTTATCCATTTTATTTTTGTGCAATTTTATCTATTTAAACATATAATTTTGTCAAATACTTATAACTTAATAAACTAAATTAATAAATTTCGGCCGCCAACTTTTAACTATAAGCTAATTTTTTTAATTTTTAGATATCATTTTAACTATTGTGTTTAAATTAAGCATGATCCTGTACCCGTATCCTGTCCTTCATGGGTGTATGGGTGTTCAAAATCAAGAGTAAATAATTTAAAAAAAATTGTGAATAAGTCCCAAGTGTTTTGTTTTCCTTCATTATATATAGTGACCACAAACACGAAGACAAAGATGTTGGTATCAACAACGTTGTTTATGAAGGTAATGCATCAGTCAAATGAAACCATTGTTTTGTTTTGAACTCTCCAACACTGGTGCGGGGGTCTAGGGCAGGAAAAGAGCCTGGACATCCATCCAACTCTCCAACAAACACTGCATTTATTTAAATCGCAACACCCTCTACTCAGCACTCTAGTTCATGAAATGAACCAACCTATCATATCAGATTATATAGATACGTAATAGAAGCTTTTTTCCTTCTTTAGCATCATCAATTATTAATCATTTGATGGAATAAATATATTTTGTCAATTATACTCTTAATTAATAGATATTTTTTCCCATCAAATGTTTACTTATATTTTTTTTTTTTTACAAAAATGAGATGATAAAATTAAAAGAAATGATGTATTAAATAAGATCTTTTTTACTTTAAATACAAATTTATTAAATATTTCTTAATCTGTGTGCATTAAATGCTTTGATTGGTTGTCTAGAAATAGGCATATGAAAAAAATGGATTTATTGTCGTCTAAATTTATCACTTTTATACAAGAGCTCTTTATCAACCTTGATGCACTATGTTGCTGAAGGGAGGAAGTGAAAATGTGAGAATGAAAAAAAAAGGGTGACCCACTAAGAGTCTTTTGAGCATTCTAATGAGAGTTTGACATTGATTTAAAAAATGTATTGTTGACGCATGAATCAACGAGATCTTATTTTCTAGTCAATTGTCGAGATCAAATTTATGTGGTATTATTTATACACATAAGATGATATCTTTCCCTTTTCACCTTGCGAATAAGTGGATGTACTATCGTTAAGTTGAAGCATGGATGAAACTACACATACACGTGTGATGTGAATAGGGCAATGCCCCCTTCCCCAAAAATATTTCAATCACATAGTTTCTATATGTAGAAAAATAAAAATAAAATTGTTGCCCTTAATGTTTGATCCTAAGAGATTAGGAATCGATTTATATTTTTAGTCTCAACTTTTACTATTTTAATTACTTAAAATACATTTTATATATCTTAAATTACTAAATTATTATATTATTATATTTTGTATTTGAAGAAAAAAAATTACAAATAAATTACATGTGGAAAATAAATGTTTTATTCTTTGTTTTCATTTTTTCAAACAAAAGTAGTTATACTTTCATAAAATATATGATATTAATTTCAACTTTTAGTAGATAAAAATTTAAGGGAAAACTATAATTTTAGTCCCTAGATTTTCAATCAAACGTGGTCAAGTTCTTTATACTTTTATATCGATAAATTTGATTCTCAAACTTTAAATATTATAAAAATTTAGTTTATCTTCTTTACGAATTCAGTATGCTTTTTAAAGTTAGAAAATACTATATTTATGTGTTTATTTTTTAAGTTTGAGGATCAAAATCATAAATACAAAGTAGTATAAAGACATTATTGATTAGAAATATAGATTAAAAACATATTTTTTCTCAAATTCTAAATATTTATTAATATTGATCAATTTGGTCCTTAAACTTTAAAAGAAATGAAGATTTAGTCCATTTAAAAAATATATCATATTTTTAAAAGTTGAGAGAAATTAAATCCACGTGATTTTTAAAGTTTGAAGACCAAGTTTATCGACATCAAAGTTCAAATACCTTGATAACATTTATCGGAAATATAAGGACCGGTTCCGTCCATGGGCAGAAGACTTTTCTACTGGTGTTTTTGGGAAAGAAACGTCTTCGTGTAGAATTTTAGAAAACCTTCTTGAATTAGTCAAGTATTGGAAAATTGTTTGATTGTTAAATTGTATGTTTTCATAGAAAGTCTTAGTGACGGTAACTCTCAAGTGGTGAGAATGAGCTAATATAATTTTTGGCATTTTTCCTTTTTTTTATTCTTATCATTTTTATTTTATATTGTTTTCGTAATTGTAATTATCATATACATATATGTCAAGATGGGAGTGATAAGGGTGGTCCAATTGGTTTGGGGAAAAAGATATAGGGTTGAGTGACTAAGAGGGTGTGAGTTTGAATCTCCCCACTAACAACTAACAAACTAACTATTAACATTTGTCGTTCAAAAAAAAAAACATATATGTCAAGATTAATAATTATTATATTTTCAAAGTTATTTTAAATTTAAATTGTAACTATCAATTATATATTAGATAGGTATTTTGATTATTAGAAATCGTCAATACTTACTTAATATTTTCAGATGTCAAAACACTCACATATTCATGTATGTTAGTTTGATGCAATGTGTTCACTCAACATCCTTAAATGTTGACATACTTGCACATTATAAATGTATTGTAAACAATAACTTTACCTTAATATACAATAATATTTATATTAATTATGTTAGACCCATATTTCAATGGACATCAATCTAGGATTATCAATTAGGTAATATGTTCATAACATACCTTGTATTATAATTAGGCTTTAATCATTTTGATTATCTTTTTTATAAAGTCGTTCACCTTGTTCAAAAAACACAAAAGATCAACACTTGAGGATGTTGAACAAGTGCACTCGAACTTGCAATAATGTATTAATATTTAAGGGTGTCAAACAAATACACCTAAATATAAAAGAGTGCATTAACATCCGAGGGTGCTAAATGAACATATTTAGTGCGTGTTTGTTTCGGCTTTTAGACGTGAAAATTCACGTTCATGAGAAGCAAAAAATTGTAGCTTCCATGTAAATTTGTTTCAAAACGTAGAGAGAGAGTGAAAAATTACGTTTATAAATTCAAACCAAACACACACCTAAACATTCAAAAATGTGTTACATTTAAAGATGTTGATTGAGCACACTTTTATCTTTTACATGTACATTCTCTTTAACTTAACAAAAAAAACAATTTAAAAAATAAAGAATAAATAATGCATTGAAGCAACTAAAGAGATATCTCAAGGCAAATACAAATTGAATTTAGAAAAAAAAAAAAAAAAACAGAACATTTAAAGAAAAGTTTTTAAAGCTAATAAGTAACTTTTTTTTTATAAAAAAATCTGATTCACCTTCTCTTGGATAAGATGTTTTTTCAATAGTCATATCATTTAAAGTGATGATCATCTCCTATACTGGATGGCAAAAGGAATAGGTGTCCTTGTTTCATTGCTCAACAAAAGCAAACAAAATGCCCTTGTCCACTATGCGGTAGCATGCTTGAATAAGAGGCGTTAGTCCGGACCTATTTAAATAGGTAGGGGTAACATTTAACTCTTGATGCTTGTTTATTTCATTTATAAAAAAAATATTTTAACTTACTTACTATCTGATTCATCATGGATTAATCTTTGATAAATCGAGTTGAACGATTTATTTTATTTTATTTTTATTGAACATCAAATATTATTTTACACGATTATATATTTATATTATTAATTAAATTTTGTAAATATTAATTATGAATTACAAGACTTGTGTTAATTTAATATTATTTGTTAATATTTTATATTATTAATTTGATATTATAAATTGGTTGTAATTGATGCTCACTTTTATTTTTGACATTTTTTTTATCATATTATTAATATACTTATAATTTTAAGATATAAATTATGAGAGATATTTTTATTAAATTTAATTAGTTTTTTTAATAGACTAACCAAAAAGGTGAATCAAATTATATTGTTCACCTTTTGATCGACTTAATAATCCACCTTGGTAACACTACAAAATAATCAAAAGCTCCCAATAAAGGAATAACAAAGCAGGGCTTAAAGCAAGTACTTGGAGCTCAAGAGCGACAATATGTCCCTGTGGCACATCAACAAGCCCCAAGACATGGAAGCTCAAATAAAAGTTTTTTTTTTTTCATAAAATACTAGGAGTATAAAAAAATATTATAGGAAGATACAACATTATTTTATTTCATATTGGCTAAAAATGTAATAATATTTCCTTATTAAAAACTATAATAAAGCTGTATTAAAAACTTGAAAAATATATCGATAATTTCGTCATATTTGTAGCTGTTTGATCAATATCTTAAAAACATTTATTAATATTTTCATAATTTAAATTTATAATGGCGAAAAAGAAAGGAGACAGATGGCTGAAATGGTAATTAGCAGCTTAAAAAAATGGTAACTAGAAAGGGGCACAAACACAGGTGTCGACGTATAAAAAAAAAAATAATGTACCAAAAACAAAACACAGGTGTCGATATTGAACATTACATAAATTGACGTGTCCGTTTGTCACGGACCACAAACTCATGCACAGTGTCACTCACAGGCTCCATAGTGTTATCTACGCTTACGCGTCCAAACTTCCATGTCTTAGCAGCTAAGGAACTTCAATCCACTTTATTAAAAAAAAAAGCAAGCCCACTAAATAAAAAGCTAATAAATATTTTTAACATTATTCTTTCTACCATTAGCTTTCAAGTTTTTAACTAATGAAACCGATATTTTAATCGTCCCATGTAGATAAATAACGTAATTTAATTTATCTTTTTTAATTCTATATAAATATATACAATCTCAGTGCTTGATTTAATACTTTTTTTTTTTTTCTTACAGAGTAGTAAAAGAAACAAACAATCCTTGGTGTGAACTCAAACTAAAGTGAAGACGACTCCAACACATTCTAGAAAGCAGTATACAAAATCAAAGCCAACTGCCACCTTCCACTTTCTCTCCCTCTCCTCCACCTCGTCACGTGTACGCGTTTTGGCATCATCACTCACTAGGGACTATGGAGCACCCCACCTAATTAAAATTAAATGAAAAAATAAAATAGACATTACCCCAAATCAAAACCAAAACAATTTTCCTTTCACATTTGACAATCACACACGCAACCCCAACCCGTAACTTTCCACGAAGTTTCATTTCATCGCATTTCTATTTAAAAAAAATAAATAAATCCCCACCCTTTCCAATCTCATAAATAACAACACTAGTCTCCTCTTCTTAAATTTTCTCATTCCACCCTTCATCCACTTCTTCTTGTTCTCTGTTTGGCAAGGCAACATTTATACTCATAGTCATAGATATCACATACTCAAAGTAGCATCCAACTTGTTTTTTTACCATATCAGTGTGGTTTGAAATGGAGAACAATCAATCCTTTTGGCAATTCAGTGACCAGCTGCGGTTACAGACACCCAATTTGGCGAACCTCTCTCTAAACGATTCGATTTGGAGCAATAATTACATATCCAAGAGGCGTGATGAAAGGATCAATTTTGACATCAAAGTGGGTGGTGAAATCAACTCTTTCAAGTCCAGAGAGCCTGCTTCTTCTGACTACAACGATAACATGATGAATGGTGGATCTCTTCTTGCCATGCCTTACAACAACAGCAACAACAATGTTTTGGGTCTCAATGGAGGGTTCAACAAGGGAATTTATTCTAAGCCTGCTTTTGGCAACCTTAACAACAATATTAACCTCAATATCAATCCTAAGGGACACAAGGGCAAGGGTGAAGATGACCTTCTTCACCCTCCCAAATCTTCCAAGAAAAACAACAACCCCAACAAGAAACATGGAGACAACAATAACAACAACAACAACAATGATAGCAACAGGGATGCCAAGGCTGCTTCAGACAAGAGGTTCAAAACGCTTCCACCATCCGAGTCTCTTCCTAGAAATGAAACCATTGGAGGCTATATTTTTGTTTGCAACAATGATACCATGGCTGAGAATCTCAAGAGACAACTCTTTGGTATGTTAATTATGCAGTTGTTATGTTATCATTTTTTTATGTATACTTCAGAATTTTTATTGCCATGGTCGTACACTGCAATTGAATCCTTGAATTGTTTATCTTTAACATTCAGTATCAATTATCTTATGCAAAGAATTTTATCCCGTCCCCTTTTTTCCCTTATTCCAAATTTCGTACATAATTGTTCTGTGAATCATTTTTGTGAATAAGTGTATGGGGATAGGTGTTAGGTGTACTTTCATATCTAATTGATGCTAATTAAATTTGTTTTCTTGGAAAATGTTTGTGTAATTAGGTCTGCCTCCACGATACAGAGATTCCGTTCGGGCTATTACTCCAGGACTGCCCCTTTTCCTTTACAACTATTCCACTCACCAACTCCATGGAATCTTTGAGGTGTGTTAAGTTTTAACAATTTAGCATCTGCTTTCTAAATTAATTTAATGAGACTGCTTGTTCTGGAGCCCAAATTGCATTAAATTAAGGATTATGTCATTAGATTAATCTTTAGCTGCTTCATGTTTTGGATACTTTATTTTTAGTCGTTTGGAATTTATGTGGTGGGGTTTGTTCAGGCTGCAAGTTTTGGAGGAACAAATATTGATCCATCGGCTTGGGAGGATAAGAAGTGCCCTGGTGAATCTCGTTTCCCTGCTCAGGTATCATCTCTAATCCAACTTTAAATGTTAATTACTTGTAACTTAATTGTATCTCTATAATTTAGTATTTTACTACTTTGTGGAGGCTTAAGACGCTTGATTACTCATTACAGGTTCGAGTGATTACTAGGAAAACATGTGAGCCACTGGAGGAGGATTCATTCAGGCCAATTCTTCACCATTATGATGGTCCCAAGTTTCGTCTTGAGCTAAACGTGCCCGAGGTATTTTATTTTTATCTTGCTCAATATTGGTACCTTTCGAAAGAAGATAACATAGTCCACTAAAATCTGCCACATTTTTGGTTTATAGGCGTTATCTCTGCTGGATATTTTTGCCGAGCAAGATACTTTCAACGACACTTTCAAGGCTTTGTCTGCATAGAAGGACGACATAAACAACAAATAATACAGAGAACATTACCTCACAGAGACAATAGATATTTAGAGATTTGGGTTTGGTTTGAAAGTTATGTATGGACTTAAGAAGAGAGTCCAAAAGATAAAACAAAATGAATACCGCGAAGAAAGCTTGGATATTCAACACCCTATATATGTATTACTAGTACTTTTGTATAGAGGATGGTCCATTTTCTTGTTTATGGTAATATACACTGTCATCATACTATCTATTAAGAGAATAGAATAAGAATGAACTATTTTTGCATATGGGTTCTTGTACAAAACTACAATTTGGCGACAAATGGAAGCCTATATGTTGTAGCTTGTGTTGTGTTGAGAAGGAACTGAATAGTGGATAAGTCTCCAGCCATGGGGTTTCATTGCATTACAGTGTTATTCATACAATATCTGCTTTAAACATTAATATGCTTTCGACTTCTGGAAACCTCTACTCAAATCTTGATAGTTCATGTATGGCTACATGTTAGATATTACCTGGTGCAGGAGGGGTTAATTGTGATTATGGGAGCCTTAGATTTGGCACTGTTATTCAATTTGTCCTAGTTAATTGTCTTAAAATCAACGATCGCATAATCCGTGATGCCTGGTCTAGATTTAACATTGACCACGGCATTAGACTATTATCCCAGTCAAGATTTATTTATTTATTTAATTTTTTGAGGACGCTTAGTCAAGAATTTATGCCGCGTCTTTCGGGAAAAACGATTCTTTAATTTTAAGAAGGGAAAAATTGTCATCACAGTGGTAGGTTGGAAATTGGTGATGGTTGCAACAAAAGATTATGACAGGATAATTGGGTGATCTGTTTCGTGATAAAAGAACAAGCGACTTGTGAGTACAGGATAGGGAAAAGCATCGCTTCCTAACACATGGCAACAATTAAGGGACTCACGGTGTATCATGACTAGAACCAAAAAATCAATATAAATAAATCACTAGGTTGTCTGTTAGGTAATTGATTATCTAATTATTGATATAGAATTATAATAAACTTTGAAGGTACGTCGTTTCATTAATAATAAAAGAGTAACATCTCGTTTTGAGTATTAAGTATTTTTTAATTTTATTTTCAATTAATCCCGAAAACAAGCAAAAATTATATTTTGTACATTGTAGCCGACAAATAGTTAGCAATAATACGGATGAAAAAGTAGAGGACATATTTGGTTGTTTGGTTTCAATAAAAAGGTAATAATGGATGAAATATCTTTTTTCTTAGCATATAATGAGTTTGTGGTAGGAAGGAAATTGTCAACTAAACCAAAGTGTTGGACTGAGTCGAAACGAAGAAGCAATCCAATGTTGTCAGTAATTGACAAGAGTGCAGTCACATTTTGGTAATGCATTATTATTTAATTTATTCTTCAATTTTGCAGTTGGTATGTCTCAAGACTAGCTGGCCACAACTGCTACTTTGGATTCTTACGCCGATGCCAATTGCGGTGCCCAGCCACCTTATCACTGCAACTTTATTCCTTCACGACACGACTCATTACTTTTAAGGAAATTCTTATTTAATATTTTTTAGGCTAAAAACTTAATTTGGTCATTTATAATAATTTTTTGTTTCAATTTAGTCCTATTTTAATTTTTGGTTTCAATTTGGTCCCAAATTAATTAATTGGTTTCAATTTAGTCTCTAATAAATTAATTGGTTTCAATGTGGTCCTTCCGTCAAAATTTGTTTAACGGCGTTTGGATTTTTTCCACGTGGCAAAAAATTAAAATGTGATAATTGTAATTAATGCTGACGTGGATTTCCAACGTGGAAAGAGTATTTTTTGTGCCAAAACCGCGCGAGAGAGAAGAGAAAACGAGAGATGTCTGATTCATTGGTTTGTTTGGAGATAAAGTTTTTCTTAGGGTTTTGAAGAAGAAGAAGAAGGCGCATGCATTGAAGAAGAAGAAGCGACGTTTTTGTGTTGTTCTAATCGGGTAAGTCCTTTGTTTATGGGTTTTTTGATTAAAGGGTCTTGTTGGGTTCACTTTAGGGCTACGGGTAAGAGTGAGCCTGGGTTATGAGTTGCGTTTTGATGTTTATTAGGGAGATTTTGGTTTTGGTGTGGTCCCAAATACTAGGTTCGTTGGTTTTGGTGTGGTCCCAAACATTGGGTTCGTTGGTGGCAATTTGGGGTTTATTTTGGTTCCTGTATGAATAAATCTTGTTGTGTGTTGTGCATATATTGGCCCCACTGAGTTGTACATTGTTGACCCGTATAAATGCATATGTTGGGCCAGTGACACATCAAGCCCTAATTTATTTGCATATGTTGGCCCAATAATGTTCCTTTTTTGCATAAATTGGCCCAATAATGTTCCTTTTTTGACTATGTTGGGCCACAAAAGTGTTGGTTGTTATGTATGCATATTTATGTTATGAATTTGTTTTGAATATTTCATTGTTTCTATTAATTAAATATGTTTGTGTTAATTTTTAAATAAATAAATTGATATATTTGGAAAAAAATGTATTACTACAATAGGTTAATATTAAAATGTGTGTTTTGTGAATTTTTATAGGAGTTGCCTGATATGGATTCATATTTTGAAGTAGTTGTCCATCATGGGGGGAAGTTTGTAAATAAAGGGAAGTTGGATTATGTGGGTGATGATTTGACATGGTCCTGTGACCCTGATAAATGGTCTTACTTTGAAATATTGGGTATTTTAAAGGAAATGGGATATATTATAGAGGATAAGATGTGGTATTTTGTGGGTGGGCCAGATTTTGAGAATGGGCTTAAATTGTTGTCTGATGATAATGGGGCCATGGAAATGATAAGGATAGCAAGAAAGTTTGGAAATGTTAGATTATATGTTGAACATCCAACATCTCAAGCTGAAATTATACAAAGTTTACCATTAGTTGTTGATGTAAGAAATGATGGGCCTGTGGCTGATGACAATGGGCTTGGGTCTTTTGTTGATCATGAGACCGAGGTAGGGGGTGGTTTTGCTGATGAGAGTGTGCCAAATGGTGGTGTTGTTGATGAGTATGGAGGTAGGGTTGAGAGTTTGCATGAGACTGTTGTTTCTGACAAACAAACTGAAGATAGTTATCCTTCAGTACATTTGGGTGATACTGATGAAGAAGAGCTTTCAGATATTGAATTATTTGAGGTACCTGTTAAAGGTAGAGAGAATTCTTCAGTTGATAGGTTTGAAGGACCTTTAGAAGTAAGACAGGCTAGTAATAGTGGTGACTTAGATATATTGAATGAATTTGAAATACCTGTCCCAGAACCAGTACATGAACAACCTAGTTGTAGCAGTAAGAAGAGAGGTAGGCCTAAGAAGACTGTTGAGGCTACTATAGACCCTACAGATGACGATATTGATGGGTTTGGTAATGATGATTCAGATGATGATTCAGATGATGACTTGTTCAAACCTGACAACTGTGGAGTAGAAAAAAAAAACCCATTCCATGGGTAGGGGTATTTCTGAAG